CCAGCCGCCAAAAGAAAAGAAAGAAAGAAAGAAAGAAAGAAAGAAAAGAAAGATAAGAAACAAAAGAAGAAAAGGAAGGAAGGAAGAAAGGAAGAAAGAATGAAAGGCAGGAAGGAAGGAAGGAAGAAAGATAGGAAGGAAGGAAGGAAGGAAGGAAGGAAGGAAGGATTGAAGGAAGGTAAGAAAGGAAAGAAGAAAGCAAAGAAGAAAGCAAAGAAGAAAGCAAAGAAAGAAAGAGCCCCCAAATAAAGAAGGAAAGGAAGGTAGGAAACAGGGGAAAGGGAAGATTAAGGGAATGTTAAGGGAAGGTTAGGGAAGGTTAAGGAAAGGTTAAGGGAAGGTTAACGGAGGGTAAAGGGAAGGTTAGGGAATGTTAGGGAGGGTTAAAGGAAGGTTAAGGAAGGTTAGCGAAGGTTAGGGAAGGTTAGTGAAGGGAGGCGGGAGGGAGGAAGGAAGGAAAAGAGAGAAAGAGCCCCCCTAGGGTCCCCTTGGCCTGACCTGGTCTTCCTCTAAGAGAGCCCCTGGCCTCACCTGTCCTGCCATTAAGGGCACCTCTGGCATTTCCTGGCCCGCCACTAAGGGCTTCCCTGGCCAGGCCTTTTAATGGCCCCATTGCCACTAAGGGCGGGCCTAGGCAGGCCTGCACCAGAGCCCCGTTGCCTCAGACCCAACCTGGCCTGGCCTGGCCTTTCCTTACGATCCTGCAGGCCTGACCTGGACTGGCACTATGGGCCTGTCTGTCCCAGCCTGGCCCAGATCTAAGGACCTGGGCTGTCCCCAGGGCCCTTCTGGCCTGTGCTGGCCTAGCACTATGGGCCACCTCTGTCCCGGCCTGGTGCTACGGGCACCCCGGCCAGGCCTTGTCTTTCACTAAGTGTTCCCATGGCCTGGCTTGACCCCAGGACCCCTGTGCCTTCGCATGCCACTAAGGGCTGCCCTAGCTCCTAGGCTGCCAAGGGCCTCTTACTGCTATGACCCAGCCTGGCTTGGCCTGCCCACAGAACCCGTCGGTTGTTCTGCCATACGGCCCCCCTTTACCAGCCTGCCCCTAGCAGACCACAGCCTTAAGGGCCACACTGCCACTAAGGCCACCAATGCCACTAAGTGCCCCACTTGACTGGCCTGTCTCTGGGCCATCTTCGCTTGTCTTGGTGCTAAGAGCTCCCCTGGGATCCCTCTTAGGCTCCTGCAGGCCTCACCTTGCCTGGCAGTATGTGCCTGTCTGGTCTAGCCTGGCCCAGAGCTAAGGACCAGGGCTGTCCCCAGGGCCCTTCTGTCCTGTCCTGGCCTGGCACCATGGGCCACATCTGTCCTGGCCTGCTACAGATGCCCCTGCCTGGGCTTGCCCCCACGAAGTGCTCCCATGGCCTGGCCTGACCCTAGGGCCACTGTGCCCTCACCTGCCACTGAGGGCTGCCCAGACCAAGCATGATGCCAAGGGACTCCTACCGCTAAGGGCCGGCCTGGCCTGTCCTGCCCAGGAACCCTTTGGCCTGGCCTGCCACATGGCCCCCCTTTGCTGGTCTGCCCCTAGTGGACCACTGCCATAAGGGTCACCCTGCCACTAAGGGCAGCCCTACATGCCCTAAATGCCCCCGGGACTGGTCTTTCCAGGGACCACTTGGCCTGTCTTCATGGTAAGTGTCCCCCTGGCCTGCCCAGGCTCTAAAAGACTCCCCTTTCCTTGCCTGGTCTGGCTGGCCTGCCCTAAGTTCTTCCTTGGCCTGTCCAGGCTCTAAAGGCCCCCTGCCCAGGCCTGACCCTAGGGCCCTTGGCCTGGCCTGCCCAAGGGACCAATTTCACTGGTTTTCCCCTAAGGCCCCTGAGACTAGACTACTGGTAAGCGCACCCTGCTGCTTTCTTTTCTCTCTCTGTTTTTTTTTTTTTAATTTTTCTTTGTTTTTTCTTGTCTTTTTGGCAGGGGGAGGGGGGTTCTCTTTTATGGTATTTTTCTTTTTTTCTCTCGTTTGCTTTTCTCTGCTATTTTTATTTTTTTTAAAGATGGCCAGTAAGGGGATCTTAACCCTTGACTTGGTGGTGTCAGCACCACGCTCACCCAGTGAGCTAACCGGCCATCCCTATATGGGATCCGAACCCGGGGCCTTGGTGTTATCAGCACCACACTCTCCCGAGTGAGCCACGGGCCGGCCCATCTGTTATTTTTTTTTTTTTTTTCTATTTTTCTTCTTGTGTTTTTTCTGTTTTTTTTTTTTTTTCTTTTAATTTGTTTTTTGTATTATTCTGTACTATTTTTTTGTTTTCTCCTTTTTTCTGGCACTCTTTTTTGGGTTTTCTTCTTTTTGTTGGGGTTTTGTTTTGGGGCTTTTGGGAATGTTTTCTTGTTTTCATGGGGGGCTTTTGCAGTGGCTTTTCTTCTTTTCATGGGTGGTTTTCTTCTGTTGGATTTTTTTTTCCTTTTCTTTTTAAAAAATTTTTTTTCTAAAAAGATGAGTAGTAGAGGGGATCTTAACCCTTGACTTGTGTTGTCAGCACCATGCTCTCCCAAGTGAGCCAAGGGTCCGAACTGGAGTTTTCTTTTTGTTAGGCTTTTGTTCTATATGGGTTTTTCTTTTTTTTTTTTTTTTTTTTTTTTTTTTTTTTTTTTTTGGGTTTTTTTTTTTTTTTTTTTTTTTTTTCTTCTTCTTCTTCTTTTATGGGTTTTATTTTTTCTTTTTGTTGGGGTTTGCTTATTTGGGAGGGATTTTTTCTTCCTTCTCTTTGCATTCTTTTTGTTGGCGTTGTCTTCTATGGGGGGATTTGTTCCTTTGGTGGGGTTTCTTCTTCATGTTGTGGTTCTCTTCTTTTTGTTGGGGTTTTCCTGCTTGGGGTATTTTCTTCTTGTTGTGGGTGTTTTCTACTTCTTTGTTGTGTTTTCTTTATTTTTGAGGTGTTTTCTTCTTCTTTTGGGTGATTTCCTCTTTGGGGTGTTTTCCTATTTGGTGTGTTTTCTTCTGCTTGGAGTTTTCTTCCTTTGGGTGGTTGTTTTCTCCTTGTTCTAGGTGTTTTCTTCCTATGTTAGGTATCTTCTGCTTGGAGTTTTCTTTGGGGTGTTTTCCTATTTGGTGTGTTTTCTTCTGCTTGGAGTTTTCTTCCTTTGGGTGGTTGTTTTCTCCTTGTTCTAGGTGTTTTCTTCCTATGTTAGGTATTTTCTTCATTTATGGGTGTCTTGTTCTTCTTTTGAGTGTTTTCTCCCTTTGGGTGTTTTCTAATTCTTTGTAGTTTCTTGTCTTTTTGTTTGTTTTCTGATTTTTTTTTTTTTCTTTTCTGTCCCAACTTCTCAGCCAGCTCCGTCTTCTCATGCTGCCCCGAGTGCAGTGCACTGGGGACCTCCACGTTCTAATTGGTCTGGATGGAGAGAAGCAATCAGTGGCCTCCTGATGCCACTGGAGACCCACGGCACAGGGAAGGGGGCACAGGGCACTGGCTCACAGGTGCCTTCGGAGGTACCATTTCATGTGAGGTCTCCAGCACCCCAGTTCACAGGTGGGGAAACAAAGGCCCAGGGGGCGAGTGTGGAACGGAGGCTGGCAGGGCGGGTGGCACACCAGGCTGATGAAGCCAGTCTACAGCTCAGCCAGCTGCTCCTGGAGCTCACGGGCCTGGGACAGCACACAGCTGCTGGTGGCATGGTGGCACTGGGTGCCCTCCAGCACCTGCCTGTGCTACTTGCCTCAGAGCCCAGCAGCCCACTCCAGCTCCAGCAGCTGGTCCTCCTGCTCCCAGTTCAGGTGGCTCAGACTCTCATTTTTCTTTATCTGAGCCTGGAGCTGACCTACCAGGCTCTCCAGCTGCTTCTGTAGCTGCTCAGCCTCCACCTGCAGCCCCCGTTCTTCCTTGCTGGGCCCTGCTGGAGGCTCTGGGGTTGGAGGCTCAGCTGAGAAAGGAAATGGATGATGAGGGATTCTGGCCTCTGGAGTTGCGCAAAACCCTCTTCTTGACCCACAGCTAATTCAGCCTCGCCCAGACCATGGCTTCTTGTCTAATCATTCCTCATGCCCAGATGATGGTCGATCATTCAAACCACTTTCAAATAGAGTTCTTCACAATCTCATTCTCAAGATAACTATGGGTAGCTGACAATGGGCACCCCACCCCTCTTTGCAGATGGGGACACTGAGGCTCAGGCGAGCAGACTTGCCATCTGCTGGCGCACACCTATTTCTCTTCCCCCACCTGCTCCCAGGACACACCAGCCCCAGATTACCTGTCCACCTGCTTACATTGGCCTAACAGGTCTCTGGCTCCTGGACCTGACTCAGGCCATGCTCTTCCCTTGAAGCGTGCACCTGCCCAGAGCATAGGGGGTGAGCCACGGAGGGAGCAGCCGTAGAATGGACAGGCTGTCACCTCCCTCTCTACCTCACCCCCATAAAACCAAAACCCTGTGCTGCAGCTGCTCACTTGTTGTGGCAGGAGCTTGGATGTCTCAAGCTTCTTCATCTGGAGCTATAAGGCTGCCTTCTCCATCACAAGGACCTGAAGCTTCCTCTTCAGTTGGGACTGGTGACACTTGTGGTCCTCATTGTTGTTCCTGTAGCCAGAGGTGGAGGAGAATGGAAAGAACAAGGAACAGAAAAGACCACTTTGGTTATCAGTGCACTGACTTTGCCTCACAACCAGAGGATCATGGCATGGGACAGGGGCCCGAGAGACTAAGAGTCACAAGTGCCAGACAGTGGACATGAATTGCCTGAGGCTACACATGAATCACTGGCACACCTGGGGCCAGAGCTTGGCTCTGCACATGTTGAAACCTGTGTGTCCCCCTCATTGTGCTCACCTGTACCCTCCCACCTCCCACTACATTGACTGCGCTGAGGCCCCCAGACCTGCCATCCACTGTCCCCCTCCTACTTCTTGTCCTCCCAGTGCTGGTGGAGAGCATCTCGCTCTTTCTTCACATCACAGTAGGACTGCAAATGCAGAAAGGTGAAATCAGGATTTCACAGGGAGAAGATGTAGTTGGGGCACACTAACATCAACACCTTCAGCAACCATTGTGCAGTGACATTTCCTCCCCTGAATCACACTTGAAATCTTTTTCAAGCATTTCCCAGCCCGTGTTCTCAGTTGGTCCCACTAAGACCTCAGTAAGGGTGGAAGAGGCAAGGAAATAGATCTGATTTACAGCTGGCTGACAGAGGCCCAGGGATACCGGGTCATGTTGTCATTGTTATGACTGTCATCACCATCATTTGACTGTGTATGGAGTGCGTCATCAGGCACCATGCTAACAATGCACTGAATCCTCACAACCACCATAGGAGGCAGTTACTATTACTATCTCCATTTTGTAGATCAAATAAAGTATTATAGGTTAACTGCTAACATCGCTTACAGCTGGGATGTGAACATCCAGGTCTATCTAATTCTCTAAGGCCATTTTTCCCCTGGGGGTAGAGGTGCAAGCGTGAGGGCAGGTGGCTGGACTCACCCTCTCTGCCTCCTTCTGTTGTGCAGAGACAATGGTCAGACTCCACTGCAGCTCTTTTATCTGCACTCAAGTGAGCACAGGCAGCTTGCCAGATGTTCACACTCCCCTGGAATGACAGAGGTCAGGATGGAGCCCAAAGTACTCCCCCAAAGGCCTGCCAAGGCACCAGGTTGAGGGAGGAAGGGTGCCCAGATTCACACCTGCTTTCTGCCAGACCCCATGGTGAGTGTCAGCCAGGGCTCTCTCTAACTGTGCCTTCTTGGATATTAAGACGTCAGTGGTCTGAATCTGAGCCTTTGGGAGAAAAGCCAAATGGATGCTGAGAGAGGGAAAGGAAGGTTCTCCAGGGGACATGAGGGACGCCATATAGTCCACTCACCTGCAGTTGTTCCTGCAGGGAGTTCACTTGCTGACACCTACTCTCCTGCGGTAGGAAGAAGAAAGAAACATCTCTTACCAGGGAGGCAGAGATGCAGCAGCAAGGGACAGGACCCCGGATTGCCAACAATGGCCCAGGACAGGCCCACCAGTGAGGCCAGATTCTCAGGGACCTTGTGGGGCTGAGGGTGGGGTGCAGGGGTTTAGGCTTCTCCAGGTTGGGAGTGGGCATGACCAGCCTGCAGCCTCTCCATCTGAGTCTTTCCCCAAACCCATCAGACATGGAATGAGCGAACAAAGAAATCATGTTCCTCTTTCCTGTTGATCCAGAGTTTCCTGGTGCTTTTTTTTTTTTTTTTTTTTTTTCCATGTGGAGAATCACAGAAAAGTGACTGAAGTTGTCCCCCTCAGCTCCATTCCCCAGACCAGAGTGGTGGGCAGGGGACAGGAATGGATTTTCAAGGAGAAGCTCTCACACCCTATGGGGACGCAAATTGGCAAACTCTCCTCGAAATCCCAAGGAAAGAGAATTTGGATCTTTGTTGGTTTTCACTCACAGCTACAGAGCTGAACATCTGAATCTGGATTCTCTTTAAAGGACAGCCATGGAAACTCCTAGAAATGGAGGCTGAGAAAGGAAAGAGACTACCCTTTTCCCAGCTTGTGATTCACAACAGTGCATGTATTCACCAAAAACCACACACTACGGGACTGGAACTGTTCTTAATAGCAGGGATCCAGGTATGAAAAGGACAGGGAAGATCCCTGTCTCCCTGATGTTTCAAGTGTGCCTAGAAATCTTTCATTCTTAGAGCTGAAAGGGGCCTTTGATACCCTCTAGTTCTATCTCAGGGCACTCAAGCCCTGGCAGGGGAGGTAACTTGTCCAAAACCAAAGACAAAGCAAAGCAGGAACTAAGGCAGGGTGGGAACAGAGGACTTCTGACAACAGTCAGCCTAGTGTTTCCAGCAGAGGGACAGCCCAGGGCACATGTGGCGAGGAGTCAAGCAGGGGTGTCTAGAGAAGAGAGAGGGGGCAGCAACAGAAAGAGCCATGCCGCCTGGTCTGGGGTCCCTCCTGCTGAGAACTAGGCCCCCGAGCACCCCATTTTCCCTTGGCACAGGAACCCCCAGCCCCTTTTCTTCTGATCCCCAAGGGGAAATTGGAGCCCAGGATTGGCCATGTGGAATCAGGGGACCTCACTGGACTCTTACCAATTCCTGGATAATGCTCCTTCGACATTTGTTTTCTATATAGCTGGAGTACCAGGCTACTGCCAGATCTAGGCATCTGCTCTGAGGCACGTGCAGAGAGGAGGAGGTGGAAGAGGTCTGGGGGAGAGGTAGAGACAGCAATCATTAGGGGTGGGGGTGAGGGCAGTCTCAGCTGGCAGAGGGGCACCCAGCCCCCACCATGGGAGGTGGTCAAAAGGCTGGCCCACAGGGCACTTACCTACAGCTCCTTCATGTAAACTGATGTCACAGAGGCCTCCCCACTGATGTCACAAAGGCCTCCCCACTGATGTATAATGTGGGCTAGAAGAGATGAGAGTGCACAAGGAGATGCTCTGTGCCCCTCAATGGCTAAGCCCTCTGCTGTCCTTTCTTCCCCATTGGCAATCTCTTAACTGTGAAAGGGAAAAGCAGTAATATTCAGGAGACCTATAAGCCTCTATACTTCCAAAATACTATTCCTTATACCATCTGACTTAATGCCACCAGCAACCCTACAAGGTGTTGTAATGATCACTAAATGGTTGAAGGAATGGACTGATAACATGACTAAAAAAAGGCAACAATGGAATTTAACTTCAGTCTTCTGTGGCTTTGTCATGAATCAGCAGCTGCCAGGTGGCAAAATACAAATCAGACATTGGGGTCCTCTCTTACAGAGCTGTGAGAAGTGCACACTAGTACTTCTTAAATGTTTATGTCAATGTATCCTAATGGCAGAAGTCTTGAGGGCACACCCCGAGGGATCTGGGGATCTAACAAACAGAGGACAACCCAAGCATCATTTCAGAGAGAAGTCTGTTACGATCTTACAAATCTAGATGAATGTCACACCTGAGTTCATTAATAGATTTTTCCTCTCTCAAAAGAATCGAGCAAATTTCATTCTTTAGAAAGATGCCCTCTATGAATCCTGTGGCACCCCAGATTGAGATGATCTGGGCAAGACTCAAGCTGTGAAGTTCAGTTGCCCAGGATTTGTTCCACAGAAGATAAGCACATCTCCCTCCAGAGGGCACTGACTGAAAGGCGCTCTGGTCCCAGAATCCTAGGGAATTCTAATGTGAGATACAGACTCAGAAATAAATCGCAAAGTGTCTCTAGAGGGTAGAAACCTGGGAGAAAACCAAACCAAACCCATTCTCACAATTGTCACCCAAAGATATTGTCAACATTTCAAGCTCACTGGTGATATGTAGGCTTTTCAGGTAGTAAATATCTAAGTAAAGGGAGTGAGGGAGACAGAAACCTCTCAGTCCTGGTTCCCCTAGTCCTGAGTGCCCTTCCAAATGGAAATTTGTGCCATGACCAGAGAAGATGGAATGAGGGTGAAAACACTTAGGGGACTGGGCCATCAGGTCAAAGGCTGGGCTCCAGGCAGTAACGACAGGGGACGGCTGGCGAGGGCACGGGCTGGGATGGCTGAGGGTGCAGGGATGGCTGAGAATACCTTGGTGAGGGGAGTCAATAGGCTCAGATGGACAAGCCCCATGTGCCTCAGAAGTGACACCGAGTCCTGCCCCTGTCCCACCATCAGAGGGACCTCGGGCTGGGTCTGGGGCCTGTGACCCAACATGCTATACCTTATTCTTGGCCACGGCCAGTTTCCTCTCTCAGGTTTCCTCTGACATCTCGAGGCAGGGAAAAGGTAAGGGGGGCCGCGTCACCACCATCCAGGTACTGGGGAATTGCTTCCTTCAGCTGACAGTGCAGATGTGCAACTGAGCCAGAGCTGGTGGGAGCGGCCAGTGCTAGGCAACAGTGAAGTAGGTGTTTCCTCAATGCTCACGGCTCATTGGTGAATGAGAAAGGAGAAACAAATGGGGTCACGACCAGGACACAGGGAAGATGGAGTCACAATGAGAGCTGCGGGTCACCGGCCCCACCCACCCCTGGGAGAGACCCCCCCCTTGGGGAAATGGGCAGGGCTCTCGCTTGGTGTCCATGTAGCTCCTGTGTGACCCTTCATGGCAGTTGTCAGAGAATTCAAGGCACCTGGCAGAGCAGAGAGGCCACTGTGCAGCCCCAGCCCTGGCCCCTCATGTGCCAGTTCAACCCCTGACCCGGGGCATAGAACCCCAGGGCTCAGGAGGTGGGTGAGGAATGGACAGCAGGCAAGAGTGTATCACTTCACGGTCCCTTTCCAGACTCCTCACAGCTCTGCCCCAGACTTTCTTATCCCAGAAACCACCTCCAAAGACCCCCATCCAGTCCTGCAGCTGCTTCTCCACTTGCCTCCTTCCTCGAGGTTCCCTTCACTAATCCCGGGAGCGTAGCTGCCCCTTCCCAGCTGGGTCCCATCCAGGTCACTCCTGCTTGCCAGATGCTCCTCCTCTCACACCCCACAGCACCCCCTTCTTCCCAGCACAGGCTCTGGGTTCCATCAGACTTTCCTCTTGGGTGCCTCAAGACCAAACTGGGGCGGCTAAAACTGTAAAACTCTCAGAAGAACCCATAAGCATAAATCTTCATGATCTTAGATTAGCCAGTGGTTTTCTAGGCGTGACATCAAAAGCACAAGCAACGAAAGAATAAATGGATAAATTGAACATCATCAAAGTTAAAAACTTTTGTGGTTCAAAGAATGCCACAGAGAAAGTGAAAAGAAACATGAAAAAAAGAAAGTGAAAAGAAAACCACAGAATTGGAGAAAAACTTTACAAATATTATATCTTATCGGTTTTGTTTTGTTTTTTAAAGATGACCGGTAAGGGGATCTTAACCCTTGACTTGTTATCAGCACCACACTTTCCCGAGTGAGCCACAGGCCGACCCAATCTTATATCTTAGCAGGAGCTTGTATACAGAATATATATAAAAAAAGATTTGAACTTGATAATAAAAAGATAAATATCCCATTTTTTTAAATTGGCAAAAAATCGAAGGACATAGTTTTCTAAAGAAAATATACAAATGTCCAATAAGCACATAAAAAGATGTTTGACATCAGTAGACTTCAGAGAAACGCAAATTAAATCCACAATGAGATATCACTTCACACCCACTACCATGGCTATAGTCACAAAGATGCATAAAAACAGTGTTGTAAGGATATGGAGAAATTAAAACCTTCACACACAGCTGGGAAAACTGTACAATGGTGCAGCCACTTTGGAAACAGCCTGAAAATTCCTCAAATGGTTCAGTGTAGAGTTACCATATTATCCAGCAATTCCACTTCTAGTTATATGGCAAGAGAAATAAAACTATGCATCCACACAAAACCTTGAATGTAAATGATCATAACAGCATTATTCACAATAGTCCAAAGGTGGAACTAGCCAAGTGTCCATGAACTGATGAATTAATAAACAAAATGTGGGACATCCATGTAAATAAACATTATTCAGTCACAAAAAGCATTGGGGTGCTGACACATGATACAACTTCACATGAACCTTGAAAGCATTATGCTAAGTGAAAGAGGCCAGTCACAAAGGACCTCATAATGTATGATACCCTTGTTATTAAATGTCCAAAATGAGGAGGTTTGTAGGAAACTAAAGCATATTAATGGCTGCCTAGGGTTGGAGGGGATGGAATAATTGGGGATGATGGCTAAGGGATTTAGTTTTGCAGGAACGAAAGTGTTGTACAATTGCTGTGATGATTGCAAAACTCTGAGTGTACTAAAATCTATCAAATCACACACTTTAAACGGGTGAGTTGTACGGCATGGACATTATATCTCAATAAAAGCTGTTCAAAAACAAATGTGGGGGCTGGCCCGTGGCTCACTTGGGAGAGTGTGGTGCTGATGACACCAAGGCCATGGATTCGGATACCATATAGGGCCGGCCCATGGCTCACTCGGGAGAGCGTGATGCTGACAACACCAAGGCCACAGATTCAGATCCCTACATAGGGCTGGCCCATGGCTCACTTGGGAGAGTGTGGTGCTGACAACACCAGGTCAAGGGTTAAGATTCCCTTACTGGTCATCTTTTTTTTTTTTTTTTTTTTTTTTTTTTTTTTTTTTTTTTTTTTTT